TGGGCTACAGGGTCCTGTAGAACTGTTTAGCGTTTTATTCTGTGTGTTACCTCACGTTTTCCATTCCATGTGATAAATACCAATTGTTTTGGCAATTTGTTACTTACTCTCCTTTTTCTCCCAATCTGTGCTCTGCCTGATAATCACATAAACAGCACTCAATTTATCGGTTATTGACCATCTGGTTAACCAAAAACATCGTAAAGTATATCATCTTTGAATGTTACAACCAAGCTTTATTGACTGCCAAACACTCAAATTCAAACGTATTGATCTGTAGCCCCTGGCTAACCCAATACTTCAACTAGCTTGTATGCTCATTAATTTCTAACCATCCATTTGAGTTAGTTGATACTAGTGGAGAATAATAGATGACAGTCTTCTCAATCGCCTCAAATGAATACTGATATCTTCATTCTCGTGGAGGATGAAAACTCTTGTTTAATTTTTATTGGATTTCCTTCTATACGTACACAGATCTAGAGTGACCGGTGATTCCCGATTCTATAGCTTACACTTCTGTGTTTTAATGTATCATGCAAATTACTTGCAATAGACATGACAAGCTCAGGAAACATTAAAAAGCATTTTATCCAATCAGCGTTTGATTAGAAGTTTTGCTAGAAATATCAGGAAAATGAAAAGTCAAATGTACAGATTCTGATAGGCTGATTACTACACTGCTACTATGTTTAGTAGTATTCTATAATTTTCGGGGAAACCCAAGAACTTCTAAGCTGCTTTAAAAACCCTGTATTTTCTGTATATAAATGAACCTTTGGAGTAAAGTGCTTCCCGCATATTTTGTGCCTTTTCTCTCGTGTTCAAGTCGCTGTGTATTTCTAGATTGACGGTTACGAAACTAACTTAGGATCCGAATATAGCGTTCAATCAGTAAGACGTATTGAGGCTCTATGTTTCGTGTTCTGTTGGAAAATACTATTTCTACGCGCAACGTGTAACGAGCTCAACAGATCGCTACAACCTATGGACTGCGGGTTAAGCAAAGACCCAGTACTGCAAATCGTAAGAGTATGAAGTGTGGATTCCCGAACAAAGATGGCACAGAATGTTAACCTAGGTTCATTGGAAAATTCTTACTCTGAAACAATATTACACATGGGCTACAGGGTCCTGTAGAACTGTTTAGCGTATTATTCTGTGTGTTATCTCACGTTTTCCATTCCATGTGATAAATACCAATTGTTTTGGCAATTTGTTACTTACTCTCCTTTTTCTCCCAATCTGTGCTCTGCCTGATAATCACATAAACAGCACTCAATTTATCGGTTATTGACCATCTGGTTAACCAAAAACATTGTAAAGTATATCATCTTTGAATGTTACAACCAAGCTTTATTGACTCCAAACACTCAAATTCAAACGTATTGATCTGTAGCACCTGGCTAACCCAATACTTCAACTAGCTTGTATGCTCATTAATTTCTAACCATCCATTTGAGTTAGTTGATACTAGTGGAGAATAATAGATGACAGTCTTCTCAATCGCCTCAAATGAATACTGATATCTTCATTCTCGTGGAGGATGAAAACTCTTGTTTAATTTTTATTGGATTTCCTTCTATACGTACACAGATCTAGAGTGACCGGTGATTCCCGATTCTATAGCTTACACTTCTGTGTTTTAATGTATCATGCAAATTACTTTTATTAGACATGACAAGCTCAGGAAACATTAAAAAGCATTTTATCCAATCAGCGTTTGATTAGAAGTTTTGCTAGAAATATCAGGAAAATGAAAAGTCAAATGTACAGATTCTGATAGGCTGATTACTACACTGCTACTATGTTTAGTAGTATTCTATAATTTTCGGGGAAACCCAAGAACTTCTAAGCTGCTTTAAAAACCCTGTATTTTCTGTATATAAATGAACCTTTGGAGTAAAGTGCTTCCCGCATATTTTGTGCCTTTTCTCTCGTCTTCAAGTCGCTGTGTATTTCTAGATTGACGGTTACGAAACTAACTTAGGATCCGAATATAGCGTTCAATCAGTAAGACGTATTGAGGCTCTATGTTTCGTGTTCTGTTGGAAAATACTATTTCTACGCGCAACGTGTAACGAGCTCAACAGATCGCTACAACCTATGGACTGCGGGTTAAGCAAAGACCCAGTACTGCAAATCGTAAGAGTATGAAGTGTGGATTCCCGAACAAAGATGGCACAGAATGTTAACCTAGGTTCATTGGAAAATTCTTACTCTGAAACAATATTACACATGGGCTACAGGGTCCTGTAGAACTGTTTAGCGTATTATTCTGTGTGTTACCTCACGTTTTCCATTCCATGTGATAAATACCAATTGTTTTGGCAATTTGTTACTTACTCTCCTTTTTCTCCCAATCTGTGCTCTGCCTGATAATCACATAAACAGCACTCAATTTATCGGTTATTGACCATCTGGTTAACCAAAAACATTGTAAAGTATATCATCTTTGAATGTTACAACCAAGCTTTATTGACTGCAAACACTCAAATTCAAACGTATTGATCTGTAGCACCTGGCTAACCCAATACTTCAACTAGCTTGTATGCTCATTAATTTCTAACCATCCATTTGAGTTAGTTGATACTAGTGGAGAATAATAGATGACAGTCTTCTCAATCGCCTCAAATGAATACTGATATCTTCATTCTCGTGGAGGATGAAAACTCTTGTTTAATTTTTATTGGATTTCCTTCTATACGTACACAGATCTAGAGTGACCGGTGATTCCCGATTCTATAGCTTACACTTCTGTGTTTTAATGTATCATGCAAATTACTTGCAATAGACATGACAAGCTCAGGAAACATTAAAAAGCATTTTATCCAATCAGCGTTTGATTAGAAGTTTTGCTAGAAATATCAGGAAAATGAAAAGTCAAATGTACAGATTCTGATAGGCTGATTACTACACTGCTACTATGTTTAGTAGTATTCTATAATTTTCGGGGAAACCCAAGAACTTCTAAGCTGCTTTAAAAACCCTGTATTTTCTGTATGTAAATGAACCTTTGGAGTAAAGTGCTTCCCGCATATTTTGTGCCTTTTCTCTCGTGTTCAAGTCGCTGTGTATTTCTAGATTGACGGTTACGAAACTAACTTAGGATCCGAATATAGCGTTCAATCAGTAAGACGTATCAGTGGCGTCGGCGAAAAACTACAATAACAAAGACTTATAGGTATCGGATAAAATCTTCGGAATAGGAAGTTTATAGGTCTGCCAAGTACTTTGTTTAATTGTGACGACTGGATCATTAGTGATGATAAAGTAAACAGCGCACATACTTGAGTGTATCTCATTGCACTTAGTGACAGGCATTCGGGTGTGAACAAATCAACTTATATCTCATTCGGACATCATAGAATACTACAAGGAATAGTACTCATACAGTAACTATTCGAACTGTAGATTACACGCGATGTTAGGTCATGTATCGTTGGTCTTTGCCACGTGAACTTGTACCCATAGAATCTTTCAGGGCTGTTCAAGTTCATCTGTGTACCTACTAATGGATGGTCTGCGATCCGTGGAGCGAAAGATTGTTCGTTGATCGAAGGTAAATTCCACGACTTCTGCTCTAATAGTCATCGTCTTTTGATGAACTGGCAGAATATATAGAAAGAATTGGGGCAAGTAAACAACGGTTGGTGACGTCAAAGCTGTGGAAGCTCGAATTTTTACGGGTAAGTGTGACCTTTTGAAGCACATGAATGAGAGTTCGGAGCATCTTAAATAAACAAAATGTGAGGATAGTTTCCTGGGGGATGAAATCATATGAAAGGTTCTTTAGCATGTAATTATTAAACTGGACTCCATCAAAATGATCAGAAAGCGGCTGTTGTAAATCCGGCCCAAAATATAAATGAATTGAAATCGGCACTTACCACGATAAGTTTTGGTGTATATCTACTGGTCGACTGAGTTGGTAATAACTGGCATTTTTGGTTGGGGGCATTCAGCTATATTTCCCTGAATGCAGAAGAAATTAGTAACAAATGTCACAAAGATTCCTGGTTGACTTACGTAAATCATGAGTAACCCTACTTCAACAGAGGCCTTCGAAATGAACTACACCCTAACCACAATATGAACTGTTCGCATATTCTATGATTTGCTTAATATAATACTTCACGTTTACACGGCCAGTAAAATAGCATTGTTAAATCGAATTATTTAATCGTTCATCAAATAGAGTATTCCTAATTTACGCCTGTTATTTAGCAGATACTTATGGTACATACATCGGCTACCCAAATGCTCGACAATTTGCGCCTTGCACCAGTTCATTCGAGGACTAGGTAACAATCATCTGAGAGAATAATCAGTTAACATCCTCTGGCTAAATTTTAGTAATATGAAAACGATATTGTTGCCTCTCTGAGCGCGCAGAAATGCAGGCCATAAAACTATAGGGTTATTAAAACCAGTTTACACGCTGCAGTAAAAGATAAATTTCGTCGCAAAATCGCTAAAAAAAAGTTAGTTACCTGTTGAAGAAAAAAGTTATTCCTGGTTTGGGATGCGTTACCAAGCACTTTCAGCAAGTGTATGTTCAGCAAAATTGATGAAATCAACATCAGTGTCGAAGACTTCCAGAACTATTTGTTTTGTGGCATTTATTTGCTACTTTCACTGATTCCAATGCCCCAATATTTCAAACTGTTTCACCCACCCTCCTACACTAACTTCTCATATTTCTCCCATATCTCAGTCACAGTCTAGTTGAGTAACAGTTACTGGTTGACGGTAAAAGGAGCAAGACATGAAAAAAATAGCACACAGAAAATAACAATTCAAACAACAAACCTAATGTCAGTTGGATTATTGCAGCTGAGAGGTTGGAAAAACATCGAGGGAACAAATCAAGTATTTGCTAATGATTTTTAAATCCTATATATGACCCAAAATGTCAACTGGGAAATGCTAGCTTATCAAAAAGATATTGGTTATGTATTCAATGAGAGTTTGAGGTTTGAAGGTCGCACAAGTTCAAAATGTCCTTCGGAAGATTATGTAGTTTTACAGTCGTCAAACTCTTCCTGAGAATTAATAATTCGACGGACTTAATCCTTAGACCATTAGGAACAAATACTACAGCAGAACAAGCCATATGTCAATCACAAGCACAGTCAGTTCCAAATACGAAAAGTACGTGATAAATAGTGATGCAAATTTTCTGACTTTTGAGTATCTGTGAATCAAAGATTACGGCACAAAAGTTTGTTTTAGTAAAGACCTTCATGTCCTATAGTCTTTTAATTCCTAATGTGTTATCTTCAGTAATGAGGGTTGTAGGTCGGTTTACCTGTGTTAAACTTTGCAGCTTGTTTTCCGTTGAAATCCAGCTTATCTTTCAAAAGTGTTCGCTGATGGAGCCGGCACCGCGTGTTCCATCGGGGCGTTTCAGTTTTCCAAATGAGAAACGGGCTCTCGCTCAGTTTGTTTGGTCTATGTTTTCTGAACCATCTTGGTGTTTGTTTGGAAATGAGTGGTCTTAGAGGGAGCATAAACGTAGGACATGTAAACACTCAATTCATCATTTGGAATTCAAAGTATCAGTATGGCGTCACCTCATGTTCTGCTATAAGGGTAAAAGTTATCAGCGTTTTAGGAGCTCATAGCAAAGAAATCTGGAAAGACCTGACACCAACCGAGCCTTCACATGTTGAACACGCTCAAAAGTGATAGTATATTTAGTAATACATGGTCTGACTGTCTAAATGCAGTAATCTTAGTGAGGTCCTACACAGGTGGTGTATACAATCTAAAGCATATCTTCGTCAAAACACTTGAATGCTCAGTCAAGGGACTAAAGCACCCAAATACTTTCGGTGGCTGCTGCATTGTAGTGAGTAGTTGTTCTCATGTCTTAATTTAATGTCACTCTAAATTCTTTGCCTGTGCGCGTGGAAGAGTATAATGGTAACTATTGCCTCGTCCGATGTGCATTAGCCAAGTTTCTAAAATTAATTTAGAAACTCAAACTTCGGGATCGCTTTACTTATTCTTCTAAATCAGCTTGAAGGTCAATATTATCAGCCTGATCACTTGTTTTCAAAATTTTGGCGTTATCAGCAAACAAAAGGGTCGATGACTTAAGCATCTTGGTAATTCATTTACATAGAGAAGACGAAATAGGAGATATGAGATGGTGTCTTTTGGTACTCCACTTTCATCTGGTTACTACTCAGATAATGTCCCATTTACCCTCACCCCATGTCTTTGGTCACAGGCAAGGTCTCTTATCCACTGTTTCATAGCACCTGTAATTCGAAATCTCGAGAGCTTTTGCATAAGCCCCTAATGAGACACCTTACCAAATGCTTTGCTTAAGTCTGTGCATATCATATCAACAGACAAACCACTACCTTTAGTTTCTGTCCAGTCCTTTCTCACAACTAATAAGTAAGTTAAGCATGAGTGTTTATTATAAAACCCGTGTTGTTCGGAAGTTAACAGATGTGTGATTGTGCTTGAATTATCAACTTAGCCCGAATTATTTTCCCATATATCTTAACTGCTTTGCTAGTTATGCTGGTAAGTCGGTGTTTAGGCTCAGTCTTTCCCTTATCATGTCCCTTTGGTTAAGGCATGTTTTGAACAGCATCGTGGGTAGTTCTAAAAGTGTCCACGAGGGATGACAGCAATTGTATATGTAACCTGTCAGCACCCAGTGGCCTACTAGGTTTAAGATTAATAAGCAATCGAAGGACAACTTTCTCAGTCACAAGTACTGGTCCTGTAACTGGCATCTCAGTAGTGCGGTTATGGAATGTGTTGACAAGAATACTTGTAGAGTAGACCTCGCCAAAATCTAAAGATAAGGTGAAGTAGCATTTATCTCACAGCTGTAGGTTGGTGAATGTTAGTGGACTTTATTAACATCCTGGATTGATGATTAAAAATTATACAACTAGGAACAAAAAATAATAACGACTAAAATGTCTCAAATTTTATTTAATAACGTTTACTCGGTTTGTCAATAATCACGGTTTGTGGGATGAGTAAACGTTGGAATCATATGCACCTTAAAGATACTAGATTCAACACCACGTTAGAGACAAACGATTACAGACGGATGGCGTGATAGTAAATCAGATACCTTAGGAGACTTGCTAGTCCTCCATGGACTGTTTTGCTGGAAAAAGTTGAACTCAATACTGAGTGCTCTTAATCGGTGATCGTGACAAACTTAAATTCGTAAAAAGTGGGTGATCCTATTATTTTCAGAAGTTCTTATTGAGATTCAACATTGTTGAATTGCTAGGTATTGTTGGTGTAGTTTTAAATCACAGTTCCTGAATAATCTTAGTAGTTGTAGTAAAACATGTGGGCTTTTTAGTTGGAAGTCACAATGATTAAATATGAAATTAGTTATCAACTCCTAAAATACCACATTCAAAAGGCAGAAAGGAGTCAGATTAAATTACACATGGCCAGGGATGGGGGTGGGGTGGGTAAACACTATAACCGTTCGAAACGCTTGTCGAAAACCAGGGAGGAGTTGATTAGACATCCTTGGTCAGCGGTCCGTGCCTCTAGTGAAGTAACAGGCGTTAGTATATATCCTTGCTAATTATGTTTATCAGTTGTGCAAATGTCCTTTTCGTCACACTGATTAAATGGATTAGAATGAATTTTGATATTTCAGAGAAATCCTGTTTTATTTTACATGGATACCTTGGACTTCAATTTTGCTTGCTTACGTAATATCTCAGGACTACTTAGTGACTTTACAAAGTATGATATTAAACTGCAATATGTCTGTTTATGAAAAATAAGTTAACAAAGTACATCTGTAACAGCCAAATATATTGTTCGTTTGTTTGTTTGGTAAATATTTTTCAGATTGATTTCCGATTGTCAGTCTTATTTCAGTTGACGCCTTTCCCTAGGTATTGGTTGTGTTTTTACTGATCAATTTAATTAGCGATGTTCTCCCACATTTCCAACTCCTCGTTCCTGTTCTTCATTTCTCAGGAGAATATCTAGAAAACTTGTTACTTCAGCAACCACTTTCTTCTCCCGATGCTCGCGTTCTAAAGGTTGCCGTGATAGGCTGTCCGAACAGTGGAAAGTCAAGTTTGGTAAATATGCTTACCAAGTGGAAAGTTTGTGCGGTGTCCGGAAAAGCCCACACAACTCGGTCGAAACAAACGGCTACGTATTTTCAAGATAATGTCCAACTGGTAAGTCTGTGTGTAAATAGAGGTTTTTGAAGAGTTATTTTTCGAATTGGGCACCAATGTTAGGCAATTTTCTTGTACTCTAAGAATGGACGATGTTATGGTGTATGCTACTTATGCCGACAGACAAAAGTGGTATGCAACACCAATCAGAAGTGAATGCATGACAGCAGAAGGTTAAAATGATTGAATTGAAGAGAACACGAATATGGAGACAATGAGGTTTGTAGGAGACAATTGATGGAAGATGTGCAAATGAAGTATTTAATGCATGGTTTTCGTATTTTACAAGAACATTCTGTACTTTTGTATCAAACAGTAAGTTGGCTATTCCCACCAAGTCTTCGTTCATAACACGGTCAACAAATAGGTTAATAGTACATTCGTTCATAAGCAGTACACAGATTAAAGTTGATTTTACTTAACTGTTGTTTTTAAGAATTGTAATATTGCTGAGTGAGTGTTTTTTGTACATAGACTGGTTTTGTTATTATTAGACACTGCACAATATAGACGTTGATCTTTTGTTCCCAATGCCCGTTAAGCAGCTGCATTTACTAAATTTTCTTATTGAATGATGACAACTTAGTATATATATTGCGGTTAGATGTAATAAATCGATTAACTGAGTATTCAACAGTCAATAACTAATGTGGGTAGGTCATACTTCGCGTATTTTAGCCGCCTATCATACTCAAAAAAGCACTTATGTTGGCAATAAGTAAAGACCAAAATGAAGCCATTGGTGGTCAAATGACGACCTGATAATATGTTATAGACAAGTCAACTACCGATTTTAACAATGTAAGAGGTTAGGGTCGATAAAGATTTGCATCAGTCCATGAAGATACTTACTGTTTGACTCAGCCATGTTGGTAGTTACGGGCTACGCAGTTGGGATCTCTATACTTTTCGTAACCAATTGTCAGAAACTTTGAGTAGCGCGGCTAAAATCGTTCTCAATAGCTCAGGTGTTTTAATGTTTGTCTTCCCTTGGATCTCAAGTCCCCAAATTACCTAGCAAACGTTTTTTATTGCTAACCTGCCGATCCATATTTCCTATAATCATATCTTCGATACCTAATCCTTTCTAATACCACTTATACTGTTACTGTCTGTACTATGGGATTTGTTTCGACAATTTCATCTCGCTGTGCTGATAGGGCATTATAAATCGAACCGAGTTACACTTATCCCAAGTTCTACATTGCGTATGATTGACTGAAGGAGTTGTAAGCTACCAGTATTTGGTTCTAAATGGGTCAAAACTCGTTTTTAGGCACATTTTCACAGTTCGACTGAAAAGAATGTGCTAAAATGTATTTTCTCTAGCACACAGAAATGGTTTGGCCGAACTGTACATTTGTAATAAAAGATAACAGAATTTCTTATTCATATAATGAGTGAGGGAAAAAATTAGCACCTAGCTACCAGTCTCTTGGTATATTTCATCCATTTGAAGAGTATACCACTGGTTCAGTCTACGCAGATTTGAATGCGGTTAGTTTTGGTAAACGGAATTTTTCAGTCATCGACCCTATATGTGTAAATAACTTGTAGTTTGAAAGTTTTTTAGTCAGAAGAAACACTAATGAAGAATAGCGGAAACATGTCAGTGTGTTTGTACAAATTGTTGTGTTTCCCATTATTGGCGTGAAAAACATTAATGAAGAGCATTTTTGTTGGATTTGCTTTGAAATAGTACATATTGCGTTATATTCAGTTTTAAGCGTTCTAATGCTAATTCTTTTAAATATTACCTGTGAAATTGTTTCATTTCACTAGGCTTTTGTAGACTTACCCGGACTTGTTAGCAGATCAAAAGCCTCCAGGTAAGGCATACTTTTGATGAGGCTTAACTTAATTGTGGCTTTCAGATTTAAGCTTGAGAAAACATTCATTCGGGATCCTCATTCTGCTATTTTCGATTCTGATTTAAGTAAGTTAGTCGCAGAAATTGTATTTACTTTTCTAAATACACTTGTGTACGCTAGTCAGAGCAGTTATTTTAAACTATATATCCACATGACTGGTTTTCTGGGGAAATCAGTTTTACTTGAAATAAATATCTCTGTTCTTCTTCAATTTTTATTTTATAGAGTTCTCACTATGTAAAGTATAATATCTCCCTAATGTAGAGATGAAAAAGCGTTTTACGTAATGTACATTTTACCAGATTTTAGAGGCATATCTATTTATAATTGAGTTCTACTTTCGAGGTTGATTACCAAATTTTGTGGTTTGTCTTTTTTTCATTGATTTACTTTAATTTCTACTTTCAAACGTAATCTAAAAAATGTTACCATTAACTAGTTGAAACTGAAATACCAACACTGTTCTTTTAGTAAATCACTCTAAACACCAGAACTTGATTTAATTATGAGTTTATCTTAAGAATTTTAAAATCGTCAAGCATGAGCTTGGTTACACCCATTTTAACATAACCTCATTCTATAAGTTTGGGTGCTTTCATTTTCGGATATTACTTAGTCATATGTTAGTCCGTAACGTAGTGTTCGTTTCATTCTTCACAATCCTGGTTCTGCGGTAATAATATTAGATAGTTATTTACTCTAATAGGTTAGTAACCTAGCTTCATAGTCTGTCTCTTTAGTGTATTGATGTTTCCCGTTTCAAGATCCATTAACGTTGTATTTTCTAACTTATCAACTAAAGCTCCCTATGAAGTTTTACAACGATAGCATGTCTACCTCATATCCCGTCTGTTAAATCAGCAGAGATAGATTTGCCTCTAAGACTAAAGGGGACATTTTAATGCATTTTGATCAAAACACATTTTGGCTCATAAATATACTGAAGTAAAACAACCAATTGTGGTTGAATCAGTAAACGTAAGTAACCACATAAGAATTTCAAACAAATCAAACTTAAGTGTCATCTGATAGTCTGTCTTCCAACATATACTTATTGATTTCCTGATAAAATAAATTATTTGTCTGCAGTATAGTTCTCTACGAGTCTCAAAAAAACGTTACTAAGTTTAAGAAACATGTTCGCACCATAAAATACTTGGCATTCGAAGTTTGCAAAATAAGATTTCTGAATACACTAATAGATTACAATAGGTAGTGACCATTATGTTGTTTAACCCTTAGTGTTGACCATATTCTATCTATGGGATTCACAATGTACCAACATCTTTGTCGACAATTATCAATATACAATAGACACATTATTAGTTTCTATCTATTAACTTCAATCTTTCAATAGTTTCAGGAATATCATTCACTCCAAACTTTAATCACTAGAATAGATTATCAAAAATAGTGTGAAAAGTTGAATATTTATTGATACTTCTGAACAAAATATTCAATATACACTGTTCTCAATAATTCTTGTTATCCATTAATCTACTTTAATTTGACAAGTTGTTGTTGCATCTTCTCTTTTTAGTTACAATGCACACTTCTGTTGAGACGTTTCCTCTTTCTACGATCATTTATTATAACTTTAGACAAAGAATTCGATTAGTTGTTACCCAGAGCATATATAAAAAAAGCAAGTTGTTGCTTCAGAACTGGCCTGTGTCAACACATGAACTAACGATAAGGTGTGAAGTAGTCGAACGCGTCGACAACTTCACTTATCTTGGAAGTCTGATAAGCCCTAATGGGTTGTTGTCTGACGAAATCCCTGCGCGGATTCAAAAAGCTCGTTTGACTTTTTCTAACTTACGTCAACTATGGCGAAGGCGAGATATCCGTCTATCAATAAAAGGACGAGTATGCTGTGCAGCAGTTCGCTCTGATTCAATTTACGGCTACGAAACGTGGCCACTGAGAGTAGAAGATACTCATAAGTTACTAGTATTTTACCACAGATGTCATAGAAATATTGCTCGCATCTGCTGGGATAACCGGGTAAGTAATAGTGAGATTAGACGCAGGGTATTAGGGAATGATGGTAAACCAGTTGATGAGATCATGAATCTTCATCGAGTGAGATGACTGGCTACGTATTTCGTATGCCGAACCACCGACTAACGCGACGCGCAATGCTGACGAGTGTTAGAGATGGATGAAAGAAAGTTGGAGGCTGCTAAACCAAAACATAACATCAGTATAAAAAGTCACTAACTTCTGATCTGAGCCATGTCGGCAGATGCAGACTACTTGGTTGGGGTCTGTGCGACTATCTTAATGAATGGTTGGGGACTCTGTGTGACATGGCTCAGAATCGATCACAATGGCGTAGGTGTATGCACTCTTTGTCTCCCCTTGGACTGTGAGATTAAGATTACTACATACCTTTCTTTCTACGAACTAATTCTTTCTTTCTGTTTAATATTATATGGAATTTTCTTCTTTACCACCATTGAAATAACTACTTCTATGAATTTGGTGTCAATATTGTTGTGCTAATGAAGTGTGGCAACTCGGACTGACGCATATATGTGGCGAAAAGTGTATTATTTTTACAAAAAAATATCCTGTTGTATCTTTATTATGTTGAAGGCTATAGGTGACCAGCTAACATGACATTTCCGTAAAATAGTCAGTTTTAATTCTTATATATACTGTTGAATCCTATTATAAACATACACCGTCTATTTGAAACATCCTATCGTGTTGTTTACGAGATTGAGAGAACGAAAAGAGAATGTCCTGCGCTTTAACCGAGTTGGTGGACACAGAGGACCTACCTAAAAAAGTTGAAAAACCCTCATGCACATTGGCTCCAGGATCCTGAGAGAACAAATGGGTTATGAACCAATTATTGGTCACCAGCTACCATGAAACTGCATTTCCTGACATTGCCCCGCTGCCTAGTGGATCAGACCTTTAGGTCGAAGTCACCGGGTGTGGCTTCCTAAGAAAACTACCTGCTTCGATCTGGGCACCCGTGCAGTATCACAGCCTACACACAAATCAAGTGACTCGTGTGGCTAATATGTATTCGGTGCCCTCTTGTTTCAAAGTGCTAATCTTGAAAACGCTTCATCCCATCTACTTCTACACCATTCAACTATTTTATTTATTTATTTAAACACATATATTGGTACAAAAGGGCACCAGATGCATATGCGCCACACAAAATAATGAAAGTAGGAAGATAAGGGATGAAAAGATAAGGCGGACTGAAATGTACAACCAGAAGACTCTTTCAGTTAAAAGTTAGAACCACTCTTTATGAAGAAATTAAAAGAAGGTTACAGCAAGATTGCCACTGGCTTCTATTCTGAGCCATATCTGATAACGTCTCTAGCCACTGTGTTGCACCATCTCTCGGACCCCAGCCAGGGAGTCGTGAAGGACCAACAGAAGCTAGCCCTTTGCAGCTTTCTTTCATGCCACAACACCATGTCATACACTGACCTCTTCTCCGCTTTTTCCAACCAGTCCCAGAGTCGGCAGATAATGCATGACGTGGAAGTCTCTGGGACGACATTCGTAGAACATGTCCAAGCCACCGAAGTCAGTGTTTCAAGATGGTGACACCAATTGAATTATTGTCTCTGCGCCCGGACACACGATGCCGAACCTCTGCATTACTAACATGGTGTTGCGACTGAATGTCAGCAATCCTTCGGAGACAACGATGATCGAACACAGAGAGTCGTCTAACATCCTCAACTCGGAGAGGCCAGGTTTCACAATCATAGAGTGAAACTGCTCTCATCGACGCGTTGTAGATCCGACCTTTTACAGCCAGACTAGCATCACGAAGGCGCCAAAGATGGCCCATATTGCCATAAGCCGCTCTGGCTATCATTATACGTGCATCAGTCTCATCATTCACGCCACCACCAGCACTTATATAGCTACCTAGATACACAAACTTCTCAACTACTTCAACTTGCTCACCATCCAGGGTGAGTACAGGATTAGAATCCTGCCAGTCTTGTAGAAGTACTTTGCACTTCGACAGTGCCAAACACATACCGCACCTGCGGACACTGATTGCCAACTGATTAAGTGCGGATTGCATGGCTTGGGCATTATCGCACAGTAAGACAATATCATCCGCGTACTCGAAGTCGAGAAGTCGTTCTCCAGGCAACAGATCCACACCGTCATTACTTACATCCATCAGAGCTGTTTCCAGGATGTCGTCGATAGAAAAGTTGAAGAGGAATGGTGAGATTGGGCAACCCTGAAGCAAACGGTCTCCGTTATCTGTCCTGCGACCAACAAGTCCCCATCGGCCACCTAAACGATTCTCTTCTTTGCCTAGACGCGCGGCCTGTGCATTCAAGTCTCCGGCTAGTACTACAATATCTGTCGAACGCGCTTTCTGGAGAAGAACTGTTAACTGGTGGTAAAACTCATCCTTGATTGCATCCGGGCTACAATCTGTCAGAGTGTAGGCGGAGATGACAAAAAGGCATAGTTTCTCACACCTATTTCTTCTCACTTTGATGGAGCCTTCTAATCTAACAGCACACAACTGGCTGTTATCGGGGATTCAATCGATTGATGCTGCCTCAGCTCTGGCGCTTGGTGCGACACCAACGCCAACAAGACCAGACGAAGATGCCACAGAGTCCCCGGATATGCGCACGTGGAACAAGCTATTCGAAGCGACAGATGGAGAGCGAATTTGAAGTACTTCACTAGAGCCTTGAATACTGGTCTCGGATAGACAACAAACATCAACATTAAGACTTTCTAAAGACATAGCCAGCCCCATCTGTTGTCCGATCTGCATTAGTGTGCGAACGTTGAAGGAAGCCAGCTTGAACGGCGTACGTGGTTTCAGAAAGACTGCTTCAGTATTCGTAATCGGTGGAAGCATTCACTTTCAACCAGACAGTGACTGGAGATCGTTTAGATAGGACAGAGTTTCCACCATGGGTGAGCTACTGCATAAGTTGGAAAGGAAGGATACACAATTTGGGAATAAAGGGAGTGAAAAAGCGACGTTGTAAATGATAATAATAATGGTAATGTAAATTATCTTTCTTCTATTAGGAACGAGAGCAGAGTAGTTAGTGTAGTGCTTCATTTCATGTCATTTGTGTGTGGGCTGTGATACTGCTCGGGTGCCCAAATCGAAGCAGGTGGTTTTCTTAGGGGGCCACACCCCGAGCCTTTGACCTAAAGGTCTGGTCCACAAGGCAGTGGAGCATCCTGAGAAGATGCAGGCCCATGGTAGCCGGTGACCAACGGTTGGTTCCTACGCCATTTGTTCCTTCAGGATACTGGAGCCCATGTGCACCATTGGTTTGGAACCAGGGTTTTCCAACTCCCCTAGGTGGACCCTCCGTGTTCACCAACCCGGTTAAAGCGCCGGACATTCGCTTTTCGTCCTCTCACTTTCGTAAGCAACACCCCCACCGCGAGAAGGTAGTGAGTAGGACTTTCCTGGCAGAAGCTATATGTTTGCGTGGCCATGTGAGAGCATTTGGAGAGGGAGAGCGGACTCTCCCCAGTCTCGGCCGTACTAGGGCATTAGGGGGCTAACTAACTTTCTTGGATGTTTTAGTTTCAACTATTTGCTCATTTCGCTCCTGATAATTTAAAATATGTGTTGCATAGAATCTAGCACAAAAGGTTGGAAGACCTTCATATGTGCATCTAATTAGTTCTTATGATGTTTCGATCGACTTTATAAAACTTTAATTCTCAGGGGACTAATTCTGGAATCTCGCACGAACACATACCAAAATGCAGTTATGTTGGTCAGGATATTAATGTATTGACTGAAAAACATCCAGAACAGAAGATAGGATCAGTAATACTTTGTGATTCTTAGATATTTTTAGGTAATATTTAACCTGTTTTGTATCTTGTTTTGTATTCCCAGTTCTTGTGGTTATTGATGTCAGTCATAAAGAATCACGCGAAGTACTTCATGAAGAAATTGTAAAAGCACTACATTTCTTTAACGATAAAGAATCAGTATTAGTATTAAACAAGGTAAATAAAATATTCCCTCAGTGATTCGAAGTTTCCACACAAACAGTATCAATTCCATCGTATTATTACTATTCGCTCTTTTAATCAATATTACTATAGATTGATAGATTGTCTAAAAATCCAACTAGACTATTGGACATAGCTCGGAAACTTACTGGTGGCATCGTACATGGTCGACGTTCACATATTGACAGATATGCAAATCGGTTTAAACGTCAAGCAAAGTTAGCTGACACAGCTCATCATCTCATTCCTCCCAATGAATTGATTGCAGCTAGATTACCTGCTGTATGCCATCAAACAACGAATAAATTTCTTGTTTATATGAATAATCTGGCTCAGATTGAATCGACACAGGTTGACGTGGATATAACAGATTCTAAGTTGCTACCAGATAATATGCTAGAGAAAAAATCACTATCAGATGGTAAGAGTTATTCGAATCCCATCCTACATTTTCAAATATTAGTTTTTACACTTTATCGATTTTTGGGTTTTATTTCTCTAAAGGCACTACGTCCATTATCATGTACACTACAGTATAATATTAAGATGGAAATCAGCTAATTTCTGCAGATTTGTATTTATGATGATTCGGTTAGATTAAAAAAGCGTCGATTCCCAGGTCAGATGGGTTTTTCAAGCAGAATAAACCATCTCTATCTACCGCTGTTATACAGTTGTTTTTGATCAACATCAGTTTCCGATAAGGGCCATAAACTTTAAGTAAGTATATTGTTTAATTGGTGGAAAGGAATATTATTGCGCGATTTTGAAATATAATAAAGCCACAAAAATCACATCCTACTCACTTGGGGAATATCTTGTCTGTAATTCGTCAGGGCGATAATCAAAATTAAATTTCTTGACAAGTGTGTTCGTTCCGTCAAAGCGGTTATCACAGCTACCAGAACATTTCTTAGATAAAGTATGTATAAAGCAACCATGACTTTGAAGTCACTAAGTTCAAGGATTGGTGACATTAATAACGTTTAATCCGTTATCACACTGAAGAAAATACGACCAAATATAAATGAATTATTTAAACACAGAATAGTTGTATCATCAGTCGTCAAAACAGCGACAGATTAGATTATTCGAAAAGCTTAAAGTCTATTAATATAAGCCTAGGACCGACATGGTTCAGATTATACTCAAAAATTTGTAATCCTTGCAGATTCTATGGACTACCAAATATTCACAAGAATAATACACCACTGAAACCAGTGGTTGATTTTACAAATTCGCTGACATATAAAGTAGCGAAATACTTAGCTAGGATACTCAAACCAAATGACAAATTGGTTGATCATGAGATTAAAAATTGAATTCAAGAATAATATTGATATCATTAACATGGAAGAGGATGAATTGATGACAAGTTTTGATGTTTCTTCCGTATTTACTAATGTACCTATCAATACAGCATTAAATGTTATTTATAATTGTTTAAAATCTAATACAGATTTGAATTTACAATTCTTGTTAAGTCCTTCCGAAGTTATTAATTGTTTGGAATTGCGTTTACTATCCACCTTATTTTTATTCTGAGATCTTTACAGACAGAAAAGTGTGGCAGTGGGTTCATCAATTTCTCCGATTGTAGCGAATTTATCCATAGATTCTTTAGAAACCAGTACGACTACATGATGTGTAAATCCACCCAAAGTTTGGTCACTGTATGTAAATTATATTTTTGTTACCGTTAAGCGAAATGGTTGAGAAGAAATATTTGAAAATTTAAACAACTTATTGAATAATATTAAGCTAGTCAAGGAGATAGAGTCTACTAACCACAAACTAGCGTTTCTGGATTGCTTGGTTGAAAGAAAACGTAATAATAAGTTAAAATTTAATGTATTCAGGAAATTAACACATTTTGAGAGGTACAGTTCAGCTTATGCTTGCTGTAGGAAGGTTACAGTAGTGAAGGATTCACTTAACGGGAGTGGTAATCTCATTACACAGAAGGTATATCGATAGACTGGATTGGACTCAATATTGTCTACACTGAGGACAAACAATTACTTTAAAGAGTTTGTAAAGAAGACTGTTAGAAATGAAAGAAAAACTAAATTAGAGCGTATACCAAAAGAATGGAAGAACACCGTGATCATCCCATTCGGTAAAGGAACAAGAAGAAATTAGGAGGATACCATAATATCAGCCTTAATCAAATGATAAATTTCCAGAGGAAGAACAACAGAATGTTGTCTATGAGATCAATCGTTATGATGCAGTTGAATGTAAGGTTGAAGGAACGCAAACAATGTTTAAAACATGTTCTCAAATAGTCGGTTAATTTTAAGAAACTTGAGAATAGGTCGGGGATAACGTTACATGCGTTAGAAACAGGGCACAAGACCAACTTCAAAAGGACCAAAATACTTCAGAAAGGGTTTGTCATGCATGAAGAAAGTTTGACAGCAGATGTATGGGTTAATAAGAGCAGTCTGAACAGAAAAAATTCTATTCAACTAGCCACCTCTTGGCAAATAGTAATTAACAAGTAATTAGACCCTAAATCTATCCAGCCTGTTTACTTCACATGAATCGTTATTTTGACAGAAATTAATTTGAATTTTTTACCACTACAATTGTGTATTTAGTGGTTCTTATTTAACATACACATCGACGTTTCAAAAATATTTTCAGTTCGCACTTGTATTCTTACTTCTAATAAACAAAAAGCAAATTAACACTTAGTATCAATTAATAATAACTTAAACTCACAAATAAACAAACATAATATCCCAATTACTAAATTCAAAATCTGAATGTGATTGGATTAGCACAGTATATATTTGATTTGAATACTGAACAAAATGTGTATTCTTTGATAATTTTGGTTATTACCCTGAAGCAATCCAGACAAGTGTGTTGGACAAAACGTTGAGATTATTCAAATTTCAATCGCTGAGATTATTTCATATATAATTTCACATATAATGGCTTCTCTATACTGGGCTCCCAGTTTTTGTTAAACTACTCATTCTAATATTGACGAATATTGGCATAAGTTTGTCTTGGTTTGTCACTGTTTATGATTCCTAGATTTTGATTTTACTTAACCTAAAATTGTATTATTGCGATCTCACATGTCTTTGCATACCAAATGTCTCCTAATCATGTGCTTGTGAATAAAGTTACGTACTTATAATGCAATTTTCGTTAGCTATGACTTGGTTTCAACTACGGGATTACTTAATGGTGTCACATATTCTTAACGATGCTAGGATATCAGTGGTTCGTAATAATTTAATGGTTTTGTTTGATATGTATAGTTTGGCTTGAGTCACCATTTTTTCACACTGTATGACAGATATCTGATTGCTATTACGTGTGCCAAGCTGTTGTTTAGTATTTAGTGCTCCCTGTGGGGTTGTTACAAATGATACATGTTCGGAATCATAAATTGGGCGTTTTGAATCCATACCACGTCAGAATTCTCAGTTATTTCGTTCATAGTTATAAAATGTTGGTTTATGCACTAACAGTGTCTCCTGGTTTTCAGTGCTTACAAGTTTTCATTGATAAAGTTTGCAATCGTGACTGAATCTGATATTAAGTGGTTAGGTAGCAAACGTTGGATAACTTGACTTCGTTTACATTTCAGCAGTGTAAGTACTCATTTTAGGATGCTTCCTCAACTTCAAGTGAATTGATGTCTGCTTAGATATTCATACTCATGTTACTCACTGACTGGCTAGATAATTTTGTATTTGACCGGTCGGCTTGTAGTCAGGTTATTGTGTATGCCTATTATAGGGATGATGTGAATTCATGCAAATAAAAAATGCGACTATTTCATTTTGGTACGAAAATACCTTATTGCACACTATAACTGTTTATGGAAAAAATAATCACGGTTTCAAGTGTAAGCAAAGAAGGCTTTTATCAAAGTGGTAATTTTACTTGACTTGTTACGCTGGATGAGAATGTGAAGGTACTTTTGAAACTCCGTTAAATGATTTAGTGAGTTTCAGGGGATCAAATGAATAATGTGTACTAATATGTGGAGAATATTTCTTGATGATAGCCTTCACTGGGCTTGAGGAAAGAACGTATTTGGGTCTAGATTTCAGTTACTCTTATGCTACCTGATCAAATCTCAGCATATATGTTCGTAATGAGCTATTTATATATTTGACCTGGTCTCCATCTAGCTGCTTTTGGAAACCTAAAAATAATTTTTTAAGTAATTGATTCACATAGGCTAAATGGAATACCATATCTAATTGGTAATTATTTTGTTTATTAATTTTCTTTTCGGATTGCTTTCGGTAGATGTTTTGTTTGAACGAAAGGAATGTAGAAAATTTCAAAGTTGATTACATTACACTGTAGTCACCTGTCACATTAAATCTAATGAACAACTTGCGTAAGTACACTTCGATCTCACCAATACTCATTATTACATTTAAAGCTCTGTTTGATTGCAGGTGTTCAGATTTTTGAAGAGCTTACTAATCTTTGCCTAGGTTGTAAATATTTTATATTTAAAATCAATTTTCGTCAATTCTAGTTGATTCCTCAGAAATATCTATCATTAAGTACAATCTGGCGTAAATCCTGCAATCTAGAATGACTTACTAGTACTGTTGACCACGTCATGATTATGAGTCATAAATATGGATTTATTTTTACTTTTAGCCTTCCTGAAAGATCATTTTTTAAATGAAATGAAAGAACACAGGGATGCATTTTTTGATTGTCATAACATACCGGGAAACGATAAATTAATGCCTTCAGATAGTCAAAGCCTTCATAAATCAAAGACTGAAATCAATCAACTTCTTTTGAACACATGTGGTGAATCGAATCAAATTCTGGATGCAAACAGTGATTCAGATCATATAGATTCTATGTTGGAAACGTTAAAACAACAATTGCTACTTCAGACAGCATCACCTGAGGAAGTTTGTAATCGTCGAAATCGTTGGTTAGAGATAACAAAATCAACTAAAGGGGTTACAAAGTGGTTAGGTTTCAGTGAGGTTTTCATGGTCTCTTCGTTTATAGGCGATGGGATAGACAAATTGAGGGTAAGTGATATATATGAACAAAGTTTAGTATTAAGTTGTTGGGTATTTGTTGTTTAGTTTACTCAATTGGAAATTCAAGAGAATGACGTATTGAGCTTGTATAAGGTTTTGAAACTCTCACTATAATGAAAATTAAAATTATTTAACATATTTCTAAGTTACTGATTTTTACAGATAAAATAGGGAAAACTTCTTGCTTTTTACAATAGGACTTCCTTGTATCCAAAGCTATACCGACTCGTTCTTGGATCCTACCTCCAACAATGATAACCGATCAAGAACCAACTGAACTCATACGAATGTGTGTATGGACACACTGTCTCAACAAACTACAACAGGAAATCCCATACTCGTTGCATATTATCGTAGATGATTGTGACAAAATTAAACTGGACAGTGGTGATGATCGAGTATACGTTCACGTGCGCATACGATGTAAAAATGAACGTCAGTTAGTGAGTTTCTGCCAATAATGTATTATTAATTTTGTCTTAAATTATTGTCTATTATTATAAATCTGTCGTAAATTTAAATGTATATGTGGTCACAATCTGCGCCTTTCTGACCAAACAGTCACAAACAATTGACTCAAACTTTACAGACCGATATTGTTTTATGTAAGTTAACTGGTATGGTTTTAAGTATACTCTGTGTGCATGCATTTCACATTATGTATGTATTACATTGCGAATATATTTAAGGTCACTGGGGTGACAGCTGACAAATTATCCTCAGTCCAGTAGGAGTCAATTTAAACTGTTATACAACCAAATTAAATAAACACACAAAACGAATCACACTTTACCTACTTCGATTCGAGCAGCCGGGTAATATCGTTATCCATCTCTCTTATAGTGTGGCTCACACTTAAGTTTATTCATTTTATTGTTTTATTATGTATATTAGTAAAACGTGATATCTTCAGCAGAAAACCTATTATATGTTCCATACATGCAGTACGAGGCTATTAAATTCGATTTTTTTAATATTGGTAGTAATCTTGTTTGTATTCAGTTATGAATTGCCATTATTTCAACTCGGATTTTGTGAACATTTCACAATATTCGAATAGTTCTCACTGGAAATATAAAACGAATAATGGTTAATTCTGCTTTCTAGTTACGTGTTTTAGGTATGAAAGGAAATACGATAAAGGAGATTTCAAGCGCTGTTAAACTGGAGCTCATGACAATGTTTAGATGTAATACGGTTGTAAAATTAACTGCCGAGTTATTCAAAATCGACTCTAATATCAAAAAGAAGCTTCGCCGCACCCAAGATTTTTCCGAAGTTTTTCCAGTAAATGACAGATTGGAATAGTTTATTTTGGAGTTTGATTTGTAAATGCTTTGTTTTTCTTATCTTTTTAACTACGTTATTTCATTTTGTAACAACAGTTAATATCGATGAATTTGATGAGATTGATTAAAATAGTTTTCGCACTGCGATTCGTACAATGTGTGAATTTAGTTTCCGTATGGTAGGGTTATTTACTTGTTACAGTACAACGCCATCACCCTGTCTATAAAATTTTTATAAGCTTTGCAATATTTAAATCTTAAGTCGTGCAAATACCTTAGTGCCAGGATTAGTTGGTTGAGTCATAAAAGTGAACGTGCTGTCACACCGTGTGTCAGATTCATCTGAATAACTATTCCAATATCGAATAGAGTCGCAAGACTCTTGACCTTTCGAAATATCTATGTATTAACATGTATAAATCATCAGTGGTTTCTCAATGGATATTAATTGGCTTCAATGAAAACTCGCATTCAAGGTGATGAACTCCACAACAATCAAATCTAAATCCACATGAGCGCAAAAGTAATCATTTTAATACGACATAACAGATATATTTACCACTAGAAATGTATCAACCAATAAGCTTTGAAGACCGTATAACACAAAAGACGTTATTAAAGGAATATATTAATTAAGGTAGGCACAAGTAAAAGTGTGACCACCACCGCGTGCGCCAGTCAATAAAGTACGATCAACTGATGCGCGTAGGTTATCTTGACCTTGACAGATATTGATGATCTGTTCAATATTCAGTGACTTAACTGCTAGACGTTATGGCTAGGGCTCAGTGACATTTCACTGACCCTATATACATCTAGTTTAAACACTCTAAACTGCATGGTCATATCTTGTGTTTGTCAGTTAGCACATCTTGGCAATCCATCATGACGTTTGAAATAGTATGGTATCCTGTAGTACAGATCCTCTTGATTTCAGACTAAACAGGTCCATGGGGCCTATTTCGGGCAGGTGTGTAACTATTAACTTGGAAATTGATCCATACAATACTTACCATTGACTACTATTTGACTAATTTAACGTGATTTTCCCCCTTACAAAGGTCGTGGTAGCGTTGTATCATATGTATGTCTCTGGATTTTCTCACTTGAAACGTGCTCGGAACAAAAAGTAAATAGGTGTCAACAGTCGTAAGAAACACCATGATTAATCACATACCGATAGTGCACCTAATTAAATGGCTAGTTACATGAGGAGAGCCAAGCATGGACGACTGTCAGGTGACTAACTGAGAGCCTTCGTTTGAGAGTGTGTTTAGTGTCTAACAGAGTCAGAATCCTTGTCGAACTAAAAATAAATTTAACCATCAGCTGTGGAAGTCTTCTGTCTATTTTTCAGTCATTAAACGGATCTGTCCCCTACCTTTCTAGATTGGTGCCCTAGAGGATGGTAGGATTTCTTTCCAGAGCAGGTTTCCCTAATGCATTGATCACAACAGTGAAGTCTTCCTGTATCCAGTTGTTCCTCATTGTTACCTTCACTGATTTGCCCAACATAACTACCGACTCATCATCTTAACTCCTCTATACCTATAAATTGAAACATTATAGGCTCAACAAACTGCCAATAAACATTTACGATCACTACTCCATCCGTAAAATGGTTCTAATACCAGTAGACAATCAACGAACCTTCGGTTATTTATCGCGACTTATCAAGTTCATTAGTAAGCCAAGCATTGATATACACTGCCATCCCGTTATGATTTTTATGTTACTGCCTTATTTCACTCTATCTGCCAGTACAAGTTGGTCACCAGGGTTGTCTGGATGCTTTCAGGTCTGTGCCATAGACTCAGGGTTTCGTCACGTCTTTGATCTATATACCTTTTTATACTGTGGTGTTCATTTCTCTTCTGTATGGGGCACCACGCAGCATATTAGTGCTGCCTGTTTTCTTCTGTAAACTGAGATCTGTAGTCCAATTGTTTACCTTCTCTGAGTGGATGCTGACATGTGGATTGGATAACAGCGAGTCATATTAAGATTAGTCTTGTGTAGAATCAATGTCTTTTGTGACGGACTAATGCCGTACTAATCGATGTGGTGTCCTAGAAAATTCCAAGGCAACAATAAATTTGGGTTGTATACATTTTGTGACTACCGTATCACGTTTGAATCGATCTAAGAAGCTAAGACTTCAACTTTCATCATTCGATAATCTCTCAATCATACCATTCTTCAAGTACGCAAACACAAGGTCTAGTCATCTAGTTACTTCATCTATAAAGCGTTCAAATGTCAGACCGGTGCTCTTAATTCTACTGGCATTTAAAACAAATCAAACTAACATTTATAATGTTTTCCATGTTTCAAATAACTTCTGACATCTAATCAGTCCAGTGATTTACTCACACCGAGTTAATGTTTCTCCGAATCAGGACGTCCTGAGGATGTGAATATGAATACTATCAGCCCTAAATAAACATATTATAAGTTCTAGTCGTTTCTTTACTTGTGAAGAGTATGTAGCGGTTAGCCGCATTAGGTGTTTTGTTCGTAAACAAAACCTTCATATAACTTGCCATCACCACCTCTAAGTTACAAAACGGGTAGTAGGCTTGAGCGTAACAGACCTTTTCACACGCACACTAACAAAAACTGTCAGAGTACTGATCATTTCACTCACCCTCTAAAGCCTGAAACCATAATAAGCATGGTATTTATAGGTTCCTCACCCCATAATCTATGTACATTCCCCAGGATCGCAATTGTAATTACCCTCAGAAGGAGAACTTTCCACACCCTTTAGTACCAACCAATAAAACGACCGATTCAGCCGTTTTTATCTACATATCAACGACTTATGTCGCCATAATTGACAACAATCCTTAAAGAGAATTGCATAGATCCACGTTAACTAAATTAAACTCTTAAACAGATGTCGTCAATATTTCTACACCAACATTCTTACTATTTATGATAAAAATCGTGATGCTCATAGTATATAATAACGTGCTAAAATCCCTACTTATAATAATCAAGATGGTTTTCCTCGTCTTTACTGTTCATTTTTATACCGCTTGAAATGAGAGTGTGTATAAAAGAGTGATGCCTTCTAAGTATTAAAAATTATTGGTTAAGATCATCCATGAATACCATTTTAAAAACAATGATACATGAAATCTGTAGATATTGGATCGCTTTAATAATAATCTGGTGGATAATATGAAATAATTTTGGTCCATAATCGAGTCTTTTTAAACAATGGTTGCCTACATTTATTTATTTTTAGCACTGAAATACTAGGCCTAAGCCTGAAATTTCTTCATTTAAAAAACAACCAGAATTTTGTAAGCAAATTAAATAGTGGACGCCTACCATAATAATAAAGGAAAAAGTATTAGAGATAGTTCAAAAAGAACAACTTTTGATGAATTATTAGTATGCGTTTTATTATTTATCGAATATATAAATGAAGACCACAACAGGTTCGTCTCTGATTTCTATTCTAGACTACGTTAGATAGCTATCAACTTAATGGGTTATATGACTCAGGATGCAATCCAGATATTTGTGATGTTTTAGCGTATCCAAAGCAAGCTCAGCTAACACTTATTCGGCTCCAACATGCCGAAATCTAGTGTCCTCATCCAAGGTCAGGATCAAAATTTAGTGCTTAGTATTAAGTAACGTCAAGTCAAAGCTACAAGGAAATAAGTCAGCTTATCATCATTATATCAGCAAGTGTAATTTGAAAAATTAGAAACTAAGTTCAATTTGACTGGTACAGCAATACGTAACATAATCATCATAACTGAGAGAGAAATGGATGAACTGGGGACGAGCAATATCCTCGCTACTATATTAAACGCCTTCAAATTAAGATTGTTACAAAAATTACCACGACATACAAAAAGTCAGAATCGTCAGTCAGCCAGCTACAACGTAGGACCAGGCACATATGTGGATCGGTCCAACTTGCCATACCTCGTCAGAATCGTACAAGAAGATTACTAACAATGTTTAGCACTAATATACTGAATAAAATGGAAATCGAAATGTGCACTACGACACAGATAAGTGTTATAAACAGAAATAGCTGTTAGGAATCCATAAACAGTTGACACATACTTATAGCAGCTGGAATATTTCCAGCCTTTTTATCTTTTCAAACCTTGAAAGTCTCCAATTAGTCATTAGGATATCGCCGATTTTAGTTAAAATTTTATTTTTAGACGCAACCGGAAGCATAGTATGACTAACCGGTTCGGAAAAACAAAGACCCCTTAGAAGCAAAGTGGCGGCCATTCTGGATTACCCAGAACCGACCACAATCAAGCAGTTACGAACTTTTAACGGACTTGTAAGTTTCTACAGACGGTTCATACCCAAATGCGCATCCCTTGTGAAACCGTTAATCGACCAACTTCGTGGAAATGCGAAATCAATTAATGTAGACGACACCACTCGAAAAGCATTCTCCACAGTTAACGAAAATATCGCAAAGGCAACCCTGCTTGCGCATCAGGACACTCAAGTACCCATTAGTATCGCCGTAGACGCATCCGATTCAGCAATCAGAGGAGTCTTATAACAATGGGTTAACCATTCTTGGCAACCTTTAGGATTTTTCTCGAGGCGGTTGCTAGACGCGAAATCTAGGTACAGCACTTTCGGTAAGGGACTCCTAGCTATGTATTGTGCTGTACGATATTTCCAACATTCCATCGAAGGAAGAGAATTCATGCTTTTTACCGATCATATACCTCTTACCTTCTCTTTAAGTTCACCTTAAGTCAGGTACTCACCCACAGAGTCTCGACAACTGGACTACATTTTGCAGTTTACTTCAGATATACAACACATTTCTGGAGCAAACAATGTAGTTGCAGACGCCTTGTCTCGAATAAGTTCCTTGAACAGTTTCCAAGGAATCGACCTCCTTAAACTGGCCCAGCCTCAAAAAGATGACACTAATCTTCAGCATGAGTTATCGTCGACAACTCCAAAACTGCGTATTGAACAGATGGGAACGGGTGGGGAAACCTTACTATGTGA